ATGAAATAAATTTAACACACAATATTAACTATGGACCATGGACCACAAGAGATAGAATTTTTAACGGGCTACGAAGTACACGGGTTCAGCCAGAATATAATAATTATGATTATATGCATTACGTTGATATGTAATGTTTTTGATGGATGTAATATTATGTTGCAATATATCATATAATATATAGTAATTAGTTTAATTTAATATTCATAAAGCTATAATAGGGACATGTTTTTGGTTATTTTGTTTAATCCAGACTTTCATTAAATCGGACAACCTAKCCCCTATTAGTCCGAATTAATAATGTTCCACTGTACTCTTGATAAAACTAACCGTATATCATTCCTGTTATTCCAATGACTATGAGAAGACTGAATCCAATCGTAATCGACCCAATATATGGGTTGTTGTAGAAGACATACATAATTATTAAAATTTCAATTGCTTGGATACATATGTATGTAATTTGAATGATCGAATGAGCTAATGCAATTTCAAGGTATGTCATTCCAGAAGTTAATACCCGGTCCAGTATTCCATCATTTTGCTCATCAAGCATAACAAAAGTTGTAAAGATTAATGGCAAGAAAAACATACATCTAAAAATATTTAACAAAAACATWAAGTGACAATTTATAAATGTAGGGCTATATTATGTTAGATACTGGTATGCATGTACTCAATTTATATAGTTACTGAATTCAGTAAATAATAAATATTGTGCTTTKTATCAACTACTGAATTGTAGCTTACAAATAAATGGACAATTTAGGATTACTTACATGCATACTGTTCCTGGTGCAACAAAATGAGCAAAAGACCCTGAATTTGAACCATACACAGCATCATGAATCTAAAATACAATAATTTATTCAAAAAAATGAACAGTAAAATTCTTGAATAATATGACGATTTATAGTTARTGGTACCTTAATAGGATAAGAAAAGACTTTATCCAATGAATCTTTACAAGAACCCACTAGATTTTTTAAAGCATCAGCTAAACTCAAAGTCACGTCTCTTTCAATTAAAATTGACATATATCTATCTAAAACATATCCATAATACTGAATGAATTAAAAAGTTATTTTATAATCTCTTAAAATTAAAATCACCTGAGTCGTCGACCCAAAACTCCAAGAAGCTGTGATCAACTACATCTTCCAAACTGTCTTGACCAGTGTTAACCCTATCCTTTAACGATTCTGTATAATTCCAATTGAACCGTAACAAGGCCCAAATTTCATTTTTTTTTATAGACGCTTTTGCATCTTCAACATTATAATAGTCTTTCTGCACATATACCATTTTTAATTAATAGTATGAATGATATAGGCATGTCAAAAAAAAAAAAAATTAAATAAATGTATTATTAACATACAATTTTATATGTTCTTTTGTGAAGTTGATTAATCAATTGACAACTGCCATAAATTTTTTCGTTCAAGAAACAATTATTACTGTTTTTGTAAGTAAAATTTGCACAGTCTCTTAAATTGATTTCTTCATTTATAATTCCAATTCTAATATTCTTGGGTTCACGTCCAATCGCCATATTGAAAAATAAAGTTATAATAATTGGCAGACCCAACATTAGATAAGTCATCCTAAAAAATAAATTATATCAAATATGAAAAACAATATTTAAACACTGTTTAATATTATGTAGGTATAAATAATTATCAATAATAATTATAATATTATTACTGTTTATTTCTCCAAAGTAAAAATCGATTTTTCAACATCTGAGCTCGAAAACGTCTTGTTTCGAATTTCCTGTTATTGTCTAGAGGTAACAGTTTTTTTTGTACATCACCGTCAATAGGCGATGAAGAGTTCTAAACAATAACGTAATTTTAATAATAAATATAATTTTTACACACAATATAAATAATTAGTAAACATACATCATTTTTTTTTTATTAGGTACCTACGTTAAAACTTAAAATTATCCCTTCAGTAGATTTTTACATTACACATACCTAATTAGTAATTACCATTTAGGCATTATACATTTTAGTTAGGTATCTACCTAATGGCTAATACTAGTTATTATTACATTGGGCCATTGGCGCAACTAGATAAATTTATGTGGGTGCTAAAATAATGTAGTTATAGAGCTGATTTTTTTCATTTGACCATTTTGACATTTACTAATAATTATATTTTAACCAATGAATTGTATTATAGATCATGGTCGCTCTCRCGAGGCCGGAGTATGATGATATATGTGACAGACCCTACTCACATTAAAACTTTTTTTTATWTTTCAACTTCAAAATAATTGGTAGATTTGGTGTTTGATAGGTAATGGTAAAGTATTATACACGCACTCGTTATAAATAAAAATAATGGATAATAATATGACGTAGGTATTTATTTTTGTGATGAATAATAAAAAAATGTTTTTTTGTTGTACCTACATATTTGTCGACCTGATAAAAATGAATGAAAAACTTGTTAAACTTTACTTTTACTCAGCTGACGTTCAAACCGCTATTAGGTACCTACCGTACTCTGGTTCGTCAATTGACAGTCAAAACTGAAATCAAATAATTTCCTAAACCAGCCATATATACAGTTGCTCTACCTGACTACCTACGTTTATGTTCTCAATGTTGTCATTGAGTCATTCAATATTTCCCAATAATTTAAATTATGTACCCATCGCGTATCGTATTAGTAGCACATATACATCCATCCCCTGTTTGAGGCATACGTTAATGCGCATATTAGGTTTAGGTATATAATAATATAAAAATAATAAATTATTAGGTACCAACAATACATATGTAGGAAATATTAGTAAGTATATTATTTTATAGGCGTAGGAAAAATAAATTATTTACTTGTATGACTTTTGACGTATCAATCACACACAACTTGAGGAACACGTCTTCTAAAGTTGAGCATCCGTAACATTTTAATAAATTTTCAGGAGCGTCTTCTGATAGTATTATTCCGCTTCTCATCATACCAACTGTGTGCGCTCTTCTAGCTTCCTCGATATAATGAGTAGTAATAATTATTGTCTTGCCTTCAGATGACAAGTCGGATAAATGTAACCAGATTCTAATTAAACAAGATATGTTTGYACCTATTATATGAGTTCGGACGAATGGTAACGTAGGTAATATAGTAGGTTATAGATAGACATTATCTATAGACTATATAGTTATTCATATATAGGTAATCCATCTTATAATACTTACTTTTCACTCAGTATTGGAT